ACAGCCCTCTGTGTGGAGCAGAGAGCTGCTCTCCCCTGGGAGAGCAGACGGTGGGGGTTAAGAGCCTTGCTCAAGAGCCCAGAGTGGGGCAAATGAGGATGGAGGTAGGTGTGGGTGCCTCAACTTTTCCACCCACATTTGTGATATCGTACAGGAAGTTGAACCAGCAACCTTCTGATCACATGCCCACATTCTCTACCCTCTGCGTCACCGCTCCAGTAAAGGTACAGTAAGAAGAATTTAATGTAAAATATGTGACGTGTTTCCAGTCTGAGCTCGTCTCTCTGGTCTTTGAACAACTATCAGGAAGTAATTATGGGACGTAGACCCAACGACCTGTTGGAGTCGGTCCAAGTCAAAATGGCTGCTAAAGCTAATCTAGGCAGATGGATTCAACTGGAGTATTTCTACACATATTGGGCTAACATTTGATGTGATGGTAGCTTAAAGTCATTCTCAGGATCTGCTCTGAATGAATATAACATTATTTTCAAGGTTTGACCAAAACAAAATCAACTCCAAAATGCATGAACATAAAAGAAATAAACTTAAATAAACATAAACTCATCTGGGGGTGAAGCTCTGGGTGACAGCTCTTTCATTAATTCATCAGCTGACAGTGGTAGAAAACAACCGCTCTGAGCTTTTCATAAAATGTTTCATTAAACAATAAAATCATGAATATTTATAAAATATTTGCAGTTTGTTTCCCAATACTGTCATAAATTAGTCTATTTTAAGTTTTATAGTCAGATTTACTCAGTCTGATTTTTTTTCATTTTCAAACAATGAATTTAATTACTTGTTCATCATTATTGTCTGTAAGTGGAAATAAACAAACATTGTTGATTAAATGCAGCTGTAATCAGGACTCGGAGGTTCTTTAGGCTCACAGCGCCCCCTGTGGCAGGTTTTATATCCACTGCAGCACACATGCCTCCCCTGCAGGGTGTCATCAGCTCCTATTAGTTTGGATCGCTTCAAACAAACATAAAACTACACCCCCCCCC